TTGTCCCGTCAAGGAAGACAAATTTACGGCGTGCCTCCAACGCGGTTTGAATGTCATCGGCCCATTCATCGTAATTTTCTCCACTAAGGCGAGTCGGAGTAATGAAATTCCCAGGTCTGTCATGAGGACCTAGGTAATAAGGAGAAGTAATATTAATTCGTGATGGTGGTGGCGGTGGAGCATCATCACCGGCCATGGTGATTTAGGAGTTCTAGGTGTGTTTTTATTTTTTTTTATTTTTTTTTATAGAGAATCCTAGCGACTGATACCATGTCAAAGTAGGGCTTTCTCCTAGTTTGCCCTCATTCATTCATTCAATCATATATGTATGTAGAGTACATAGTTCCCTAAAACATATCAAAAGATTCTCAAGAAATTATCTTGAGATCAAACAACCTATAAACTAGGAAACTAAATATATGATAAGAACGACAATGATGTGATAATATTCCTAACACAGCAAATTACTTTCTAGAGAGATAAAGTATAGAGGGAGTGAGATTAGAAATAATTATCCATCATTAATCATTGGCTTTCTATTTATCGATGTACATTCATGTGGCAAAATTGTACTTTCTGGACAGATTATGGGTAAATTATGAAGGGTACTTTCGTCATTTGAGATAGATTGGGCTTAAGACATAAATTAAGCCCAAACAATTGTGTTTTTGGAACATTAAATTAAAAAGTGAACTTTTATCAATTAAACATGTATTAAAAAATGGACAAATTATTTTAAGAGGGACGAAGGGCTTATGTAAATGATAAAATAGGAATTGTTTTTAGTGCCAACTAAACTTTACATGTCATATCATGATACATGAGAATAAAATTCGAATGTTAAATTATTTAACTTTTAGAATGATTGAAATAGGTATGTAATGTTTAAGACAATAGGAGTATTGATTTTGATTGCCAATCAATAATTAACTCCAAAATTATAATATCCATCTATAATGAATTAATCATAAATTTATGGCATGATTTTCATGTTTTAATTTATTCTTTATACATAGAATATAATTCCTGTATATCGCTTTTGTCTTAAAAAATTTAAAAATATAGGTCAAAATAATTTATGGTACTCAAAATAATAATACTCAAAATCAATATTATATTATCATACAATCGGATCATTGGATTGGAAATTTCACTAGCATATTAATATATCAAGACAGAGTGGAGTACCCACACTTGCAAAGAAGTTATTAATGTTAGGATTCGATGTAGATGATACCTACTATTCTTTAGAATTTAGTTTTAGAATATGATTAAAACTAGGAAAAATTACGAGGAATGTCCTTTTAAGTGGTCGACCTTGTGTGGAAGGTCATTTTATGAAAAAGTGGCACTAAAGGTCCTTATATGGAGACTGGGTTGTGGGGAGGGTCCTTTACCAAACTCCGGCGTTGACCAAAATTTTCCGGCCAAAAAAAGTCACGTGTATAGCACGTGACAACTTAAGTGGCCTTTTTTTTTTTCTTCATTTTTTCCCTTTCCCTCTTCTTCCTCGATTTTCAGTTTTCCTCTATTTTTCCCCCTCTTCTCCAAAATTTTCTACCTTCATCTCTAACCAACAACCCCACCCCCACCCTCACCCTCACCCTCACCCTCACATTTGTTTAGTCCACCACCGCCACTGCAAATTTGTCCATTGCTCATCACTTTCTCCCACAAACTAAGTAATGAACTATGGTTTTCATGAGCCCCGTTGATTGGTTACCATCTAAAATTAAGGCCATCTCTTTCTCCTATTGCTTAGTCAACCACGACTCACCGAAATCGTCAACTCATTCAAATTACAACAAATTGGCTAATAGATCTCCATCCCACCCATCATCTTTGACATGGACGAGTCAAACAAGGAATTGTTGGCAGTGAGGACCGAGGAAAGAGACAGAACACCGAGGGAAGGGAATGACTAATAGTTGGTAGCGGCAAGGGAGACGAGGAGCAATTTGTTAGGTTGGCCTCGAGGGAGGTTGGAGGCGCCTGGAAATGGGGGAAAACTGAAAATCGAGGAAGAAGAGGGAAAGGGGGAAAAAAAAAAGAAGTTGTCACATGCTGTGCACGTGACTTTTTTTTGCCGGAAAATTTTGGTCAACGCCGGAGTTTGGTCAAGGGACCCTCCCCACAAGGTCGACCACTTAAAAGGACATTTCTCGCAATTTTTCCTTAAAACTATTAAGAGGTGCCTTTATCCCCTTAGTTTCCCTCAAGGTCTCAACCCTATTGGGACGTTTTTCCAAAGTGAGCCAATTTTGGCAAATATTAACCAAAATGGTTGCGTGGCAAAAGTATTTACCAAACTAAGCTTCCAGGCTAAAACGCTGTCTCGGTCATCGTTTTATGCCTGGGTTTTTTTTTTAAAAAAAAATCAACCTAAAAACGCTGTATGGGACAGCGTCTTTGTTGTTGACCTTTTTTTTAAAAAAATTTGTAATTGCCTTTTATTTATAAAAATGTTTTTAAAAAAACAAAAACAGTTATACCAAAGACGCTGTCCCAGACAGCGCTTTATGTACAAACTTCCTTGTACCTAAAAAGCTGTCTCAGACAGCGTCTTATTTTCAACCTAAAACGCTGTCTGGGACAGCGTTTCTCTGCTGGTGTGCAAAACAGCAGCAGAATCAACCTTTTGCCACTGATCTGCCACTTTCTTCTGCCCCCACCCACCACCCCCTGCCATGATTCTTGCCACCACAATCCACCAACAACCCCCACCATCGACCACCATCTGCCACCACTTTTGACCTCCAACAACACTTCAACCAGCTCCACCACCAACCCCAACCATTCAACAACCGTCGATAACCACCCACCACAACCAACAACACTAAAACCACCATGAACAACCACATTAACCACCACGGGCCATCCTTTCTTTCCCATTTTCGACTATGGATTCCAAATGTCTGTTGTTTAATGTACATTAGCCCTGAAGGATCTATTTTGACTGACATAAATCCGATTTGGATAAATAAGCAAACAAAACTTCAAAACACAAACAGATTCATTCAACCAGCATGTCTTATATTGATAATGCAATCGTTATATACAACATTACAGGAAAAAGGACAAAACAATGATACAATACGTTCACTACTCATCAATTTGTTGTAACCCTTCCCTAGCCTCACTGTCATCTCTTCGTCTTGGACGACGCCGAGTGTAATGGTGAATGGTGGTGAATGGGTTCCGGCGCGGGGGGGAGTGAGCTGGCTGGACGATGCGTCCTCCTGGGTTCTGAAGGGTGCAAAACTGTGGAAGATGTACTCCTCTGCCTCTGTGTGCGACGTAGGATCACCTCCACTGCTACTCTGGCCGGGGTCGAACCGCGAATGGATGGAGTGCCATCATCACCGTCCCGTTGTTGGATGAGATGACCGTGACCATGTCTGCGTAAGGAAGTCGCGGACATATCTCACATCCGCTGGACCTGGGCTCTGGTGGGTCCGTCTGTAAGGGCGAGGGACAGTGCATCATACATCGCCACCATATCCGCCGCCTGTAGTAATCATTGATCAGTCAAGTACATGATATTTAAAAAAGTTAAAAAATGAGGATGATAAGTATAGTAAAAGAAACTCACATATCCGCTAATGACGTCATGTGCCGGGTGGTAATGGGTGGACGGTGGTGTGTAGCTGGGGTTGATGAAACGGCGTGTGATAATCCTGTACCACACCATGTATGGATCGTCATGATCCATAACGCCCTGCATGGGATAACCCTGAACGACATGACCCAACCGCTGCTCCCATAGCTGAAGATACTGCCAATGCTCCAGTGCCCAGTTTGTCTCCGTCTTTCCCGACGGTCAGTGTCGTGAAGGCGCACGACAGTGTCATAGTTCTGGGGAATAGGCTGCTACAGTCCGAACTGTCGCATGACGCGGTCAGGTAGGTGACTCTCCACAACCTCGAAACAGATCAGGGGGACCCGGGCACGCCACTCTCCCTGATGCTCTAGTAGAGAGAGGGGGATTAAGTTAGAGTTTGGGAAAGAAGGGGTTTGAGAATGAAGGAGGAGGAAATGAAATGAAATACGCTGTTGGAGGGAAAAAAACGACAGAAACGCTGTCTCAGACAGCGTTTCATTAATAACCTTAAACGTTGTCTGAGACAGAGTTTATAGTTCCAGAGTTAAACGCTGTCTGGGACAACATCTTTGGTATAACTGTTTTTTTTTAAAACATTTTTATAAATAAAAGGCAATTACAAATTTTTTTTTAAAAAAGGTCAACAACAAAGACGCTGTCCCAGACAGCGTTTTTAGGTTGATTTTTTTAAAAAAAAACCCAGGCATAAAACGCTGACCGAGACAGCGTTTTAGCCTGGAAGCTTAGTTTGGTAAATACTTTTGCCACGCAACCATTTTGGTTAATATTTGCCAAAATTGGCTCACTTTGGAAAAACGTCCACCCTATTGCCCAACTTTATTTGATTATTGTATTTCTTCTAGAAATTGCATTATCTTACCTTATCAAAAACGACTAATTAAATTTTTATTCAAACTAGTATTATTTTGTATGAATTTTTATGAATTGTTTGAAATTATAAAAATAAACATGTTTTATTTTACATTTTATATTTTTATTTTTATTTTGAACTCTTCTATTTATAAAAAAGAAACTTAATTTTTCTGAACCAACTAACAAATTCCCTTTATTCCCTTTACGTTAGTTATTAAAATCAAATAACAATTAAAAACCGACATTAATTTATCTCAAAATTTTGTGTCATAATCAGTGGACATAGCTAATGAGGTGGAGATAAAATATCTTTGATTATTCTCTAATTAATATTCCGCATGTTTAAGCTTGTATTATTATTATTGCTATTAATATTATTTACTTTTGTAACATGTTCCATGTATTATTAAAGGGATGGTCTGAAGTGATGAGGTATTATTATTTTATTAAATTAAGAGGGGCATAAGAATAAATACAAAAAATAGATTTATAAATAATGTCGGATGCACCCAATAATTTGTAGTTCGGCCTAGAGTGGAAGTTGGTCGGAATAATTAATAGTCAAAATACGCGGCTCTAACCCACTTGTTCACACTCTCCTCTTATATAAAGTTTCGATTCTTACGCCACCACAATCACACCACACCTAAACCACTGCTACTGCTACTGCAGTCCTATTCAATTCCTGATTTTTTCAAATTTAAGTTGTTGAATTCTATTTCAAACTAAACTAAAGTCAAGAAATCATACTACTCGTATTATTTATTTTGAGAAAACTTATTACTGTATCAAATTAGAGGTGGTGAAATTCGAACCATGGGGGTAAGCAAGCAGCAAAGCCAGGCCTTCAATATGGGTCTCGATGTTGCCCCTCAAAACGCTTCCAAAGCATTTGATGATGATGGCCGTGTCAAGAGAACAGGTTAATTATTTTGTAACACCTTACCTTTATCTTATACCGAGTGCACCTCAAGAAAGTTATATGATCGCAGAAATAAAAATAATAATTAAAAACCACACGTGTATCATGAAACAATTGCTTCGTATACTTCTTGTATTTTCTTGTCTTAATTTGATTTCTACTTATTTTACCGACTGGGAAAGCATTAGAGTTGGTCATATTAATTTACATAAGAAGATAGATCGATATTAGAAATTGGATTGTTCTGTCATATTTTATTTTACCTTATTACATGCTTATAAGAGGTGGATAGTACATTAGTACCCCATATGTTGTTTTTAACAATCATGAATCATCGTGGTAGAGCTTAGTTCCGGTAGAGCTTGATGTTTATAATGTAGTTCCGGTAGAGTTTAGTCGTATTTTAGAGGAGGATTATAGGGGCGTGGCTATCCCACGCTTAGTCCCTCTGTAAATAGTTCTTTCTAGGTGATTTGTTTTTATTTTTCTTTTGGTGTTCTTACCTGTAAAAATAAATAAATAAATAAATAAATAAATAAAATAAGAATCACGGTGGTTATTTTAACTTATTTAGATTGAGATTAGATAATTTCATAATTTGCCTAGCTATTGTAAGTGATATATTCTTTATTTTTTTGTTTTTTTATTTGGTTCCCTCCAAGTTGATACTAGTATAGAGTTGTTTTGGAACAAAAGCACGTGAGAGTAGATATTAATAGTTGGTAGTTTTGGTTAAATTTTGCAGGGACTATGTGGACGGCAAGTTCCCATATAATAACGGCTGTGATTGGGTCAGGAGTGTTGTCCTTGGCTTGGGCTACGGCCCAGCTTGGATGGATTGCTGGCCCAATTGTGATGATATTGTTCTCAATTGTCACTTACTACACTTCTGTTCTCCTTTCCGATTGCTACCGATCCGGTGATCCTGTCTCCGGCAAGAGAAATTACACTTACATGGATGCCGTTCAAGCTAATCTTGGTATTTTATAGTAACCCACCTGGCCTTCAATTAATAATAATAATAATAAATAGAAAGTTACTACTTCCGTTATATACTTTTTGACTAAGAAAATGTTATGTCCATGGATACATATATTAATAAAAAAATTTGATAAAGTTGAGCTCGTGTTATAATTAGGTGGGTTTATTAGAAGAGACAAAGAAAGATATGGGTGGGTGTAAGACTTACATAATAAGGTAACAAGGATAGTATGAAAACGGTAGATATTGCGAATTTGCGGTGAAAGATAACAAACAAAGTTAAAGGAGATTGAAAATAGAAAAAGAGTTAAAATAGTATGTATAAGCAAAATTCCAACTTAATCTGACTTTCTGGTTGCATTGCGTTGTAGGTGGGCTTCAAGTGAAAATATGTGGATTGATTCAGTACTTAAACCTCTTTGGAGTTGCTATCGGTTACACAATAGCAGCCTCGATAAGCATGACGTAAGTTTTTATTTCCATCACGTTTAGCTTATCTTATGAAATACACATCTAAACAAAGACCAAGTTATAATTTATAAACATCATATGAATTGAAGGTTGTCCAGTTTATCTCCTTGATATGCATATTACTATCACAAGTTACAAATCACATACGTTTGGATGGTACACGTAATATTGTTGATAACCTGTATTAACGCGGCTGTAACATATAGGGCTATAAAAAGGTCTAATTGCTTCCATGAGAAAGGCGAGAAATCCAAGTGCGACATATCAGCAAATCCTTACATGATCCTCTTTGGAGTTGCTGAGATATTCTTCTCCCAAATCCCAGATTTTGATCAAATTTGGTGGCTATCAATTGTTGCAGCAGTCATGTCTTTCACTTATTCTACCATTGGTCTTGGTCTTGGTATCGCTAAAGTGGCTGGTAATGTCAACTATCTTTTTAACCGTTCACTTTTTCTAGTAGACTACATTCCTTTCTTTCTTCAGCAAAAAGCAGAAGTAGCCGTTCATTCTTGACTTTTCCTTTTTTAATTGTCAACATAGTCTTGTTTTTATTCTTATTCTCATTCTCTGTGTATATGCGATTGAATAACAGTAAATGGAAAAATCAAGGGCAGTTTGACTGGTATTAGTGTTGGTGTGGTTACGGAAACTGATAAAGTGTGGAGAAGCTTCCAAGCACTTGGTGATATTGCATTTGCCTATTCATACTCCATGATTCTTATTGAAATTCAGGTGCTTAATCATGCTTAGCTTGCTTGGTAACGTAGTCATTCGTAATTTGATGTTAGTAACATGGTGTACTGTATTGGTAATTGTGTAGGACACAGTAAGGTCACCCCCAGCAGAATCAAAGACAATGAGGAAGGCTACACTAATAAGTGTTGTAGTAACAACTGTATTCTACCTGTTATGTGGGTGCTTTGGCTATGCAGCATTCGGGGACTTGTCACCCGGGAACCTGCTAACTGGGTTTGGATTCTACAACCCATTTTGGCTAGTAGACATAGCCAATGCTGCCATCGTCATCCATCTCGTTGGTGCCTACCAAGTTTACTGTCAGCCTCTCTATGCTTTCATTGAGAAAATAGCCAGTGAGACCTTCCCTGATAGTGACTTCATCACCAAAGATATCAAAATTCCACTTCCTGGTGGTTACAAACCTTACAACCTTAATCTCTTCAGGCTAGTTTGGAGGACAGTGTTCGTGATCATTACCACCGTAATTTCCATGCTCTTACCCTTCTTCAACGACGTGGTGGGATTACTTGGAGCACTTGGGTTTTGGCCCTTGACTGTGTATTTCCCTGTAGAAATGTACATTTCCCAGAAGAAGATACCCAAATGGACTACTAAATGGATTTCTCTTCAGATTCTAAGTGCTGCTTGCCTCATTATCTCCATCGCCGCCGCTGCTGGATCTATCGCCGGGGTGGTTAATGATCTTAAGACGTATAAGCCTTTCAAGACCACTTACTGATTCTAATTGTTTTACTAAATGCTAACACAATGGTTAGGAGGAGTTGGTAGTAAAGGCACCATCGCTCAAAACAGAGGGCTCTGTAGTTGCTGCTTTTGTTGATTATTGTATGTAGGTTTTATCTTACCACTCCATGGAATTACCCTTTACGTTTATAGGTCTAATTTACTGATCCACCTTCGTTAGAAGAGTGACAGATTGGAAATCAGAGGGTAACAAAACTGACAATTGAACACAATGGCCATTGAGTATAAACTGGTATACTGCTGTTGGGGGTCAAATGAGCCACTTAAAAATAAGCCTGTGGATATCACAACTTGTTTTGTGCAATTTTCTTCTGTGTTTGCATATTTTGATACTTTATTTATACTAATGTGGTAACGGCTTGCTACTTGCTAGTGGCATAACATCGCCATGCTACTCCAGTACATGATGAACATTGTACATTTTAATAATGCATATTATCCACTCAAACCTATAATTATGCTACAAACTCTAAACATTTAACCAACATACTTGGCACATGATATCTTCAAAACACAAGTCGCAAATTAAGAGCACATGATCATTACATCCAAAATACTAAGCACTTAGGATTTCATTATCAAAGCAAGAATTTAAATTGAAAACAAAACCTAATTAAATGAAAGTTACTAGTGCCCATAGAGGCACTTTGTAGAGCTAGAACAACCATCAAACAGCAGCTAGAGCTACTTAGTCAAAATGATCAGAACATATGTCAAAAAAAAATGGGAGAGTTAAACAGCATAATTATCAGTCAAACTGATTAGGAACATATCTCATCTTCTTAGAGAGTAGAGATGCAAATGGTAGACATATCTTTGAACAAATTATCATATGATCAACACAGACAGAGCATCAAGCCATCAACCATCAAGATTTTGTGATACTAACCTTCCTCTTTTTGTTTTTGCTTGGACATTCCTAGATGATGAGTTGCTCCTAGTTTCTCCCGAATCTGATTCCAAAGTAGCATTCTCCTCACATTGCGAGATGAGTTCATCTGGCTCGGGAAAACTAACAAGGTTTACATGCCGTGAAATCTTCCCAGCTACCACAAAAATAATAAAATTCCAAGAAAATTAAATGAGGAATGATATGTCAATGTGGTTCATTACTTGGAATATCATTTGTAAAATAGGAATTTAACTGCTGTTATTATTGCACTATGAACATGATTATTAGCATCTAATATTGAAATTATTACTCCCTCGACCTGTTCTTAAAGAATGTGACATATTTGATGATTAGGTTATATTAAGGGATGCAATTTTCGGGGTATCATTTTTACGCCTAAAGTTTCTGATCATTCTGAAGGATATATAACTAAGAGCAAATATAAAATGAGCAAATGTTAACGAGTTGGTGACACATACCAACTTTTGTTCCAGATAGGCCAGGTATAAAAACAGTTATATCAGATACTGGGGCTGGAAAGTTGACCATGCTATAAACTTTACCTGCATGCACACCATTAATATATAAGCATCAATGCATCATCAAATCTCAAATGCGAGTTACATTTTTATGAGCTTTTTAGTAGTATTACCAGATTTTGTCTTCATGCTACCAATTGGTCCATCTTCATTGTCAAGATCAAATTATGCTGTTTGACCTTCAAAATCATCAAGGCTCTGCACAAGTAAGAAATAAATACATTTAGAATCAGAAATACAAATACATAAGCAAATACTAAAATATGAATAATGTTCGATCTTTTTGAAAATTAGTCATGTAAGTTAAGCTGGCCAAAAAAAATGGGAGTTTTGTTTGAACTCTACGAAATTCTTGTATGGTGATTATAGGAGTAAATTTTCCCATATGCGAAATTTTTTTAGCATTTGCTCACAACATTTCAAATGATTACTTTAATCAACCTTTTTATATTGATAAGTTTTTGATATCTTCTTAACCTTTATTGAAGTGGATAATTTTATGCTACTGTGATTAAAAAAAAAAAAAACAGAACCAAAATAAATATCGGATATGCATACATTTCATTCAGTTGGGACACAGCAACTAGCAAGAACATATATCAAGACCTTAGACAACAAGTTCATGCATGCCACAAAGGTTGCTAAGAATGAAAATCCTTACTAATAATGAAGTAATTTAATTTAAATTGTAGTAGCAGCATAGAAGTGTAACGTTAAAGTTCGTAGACAAGATTAATTCAATTCAATTTACAGAAGAAAGGTAATTCAGAAATAAAAGCTAAGGAAGATGAAGAGATTACTTGGTCAGAAGGGAGTTGCATTAGCCAAAGCTCAGTGTTATCATCCACCTCAATATCTAAAAGTGGCTCTTGCAAGACGAGCTCATAACCAGGAGGAGGTGTGTAGCCAATATCATCAGATTCTGATTCAGACACTGAATTTTCCACCACCAGATTATCGATATTCTTTATTTCTTCGTCTTTACCATCATCTTTGTCAGACACAGAATTTTCCACCACCAGATCATCAATATCCTTTATTTCTTTGTCATCATCAACATCTTCATCAGACACTGAATTTTGCACCACCAGATTATCAACATCCTTTATTTCTTCGTCTTCTTTAACATCTTCGTCAGCCTCTGAATCTTCCACCACCAGATTATCGATATCCTTTATTTCATGGTCTTCTTCAACATCTGTGTCGTACACTGAATTTTCTGCCTCCATATTGTGCACACCATCCTTACTAACTTCGCCTTCTTCATCAACATCTTCATCAGTTGTATTAGCCGCAACTTCATCACAAGTGGTTAGTAGATTGGCAGGACAATGAGTACTTGTAGTGATGAAGTGATCATCAGGCATCTGATCAGCCTTCGATGTCGTGTCATCGCCCTCCATTATGTTATTAAGATTTAGAAGTGTAGTAGGATAATGCAAGTATCGGATAGCGATTTACAAGCAATTAAGCTTTGATCAATATTTTGTACGCTCAGAGGCACTCTTATTTAAAACAAGGGAAGCTGAAGAGTATCTAGCTCAGTTTAGTTAATTTCAATAACATTGCTGTTTTTCAATGCTCTCTACTTACGAAGTACTGTAGTTATTACTTTCCCATGCACATGAAATGACCCTTCAGCTTCACGTATTGTATTTCTTTCAAATGTGATCACTTTACCCCTCATTAACTTTTGGATTTTTATATTTGGTGATTTTGAATTTATTTATACTTTTCGTACTTAGTATATACTCCTTCCGTCCCCGAAACTTCGACCCTTTTGAGTTGATTTCGCGGGTATTAAGAAGTTAAATTGGAGTGTAAAAGTGTATGGGGAAACTAAGAAAAATACATTGAAAAGGGAAATTTACATTGGAATTGCAAAAAAGTAGAGAGAGAAAATAATAAAAGTATATAGAAAAAGCAAAATTTGCATGGAAAAGCTAATTTTGCACAAATATTATTGCAAATTAAAGGGTATTAAAATGTAAATAGGATGAACATTTTGGGACTAAAATTAGACCATAAGAGTCGAAGTTTCGGAGACGGAGGAAGTATTAAACGAGTTGTAACATAACGTACCCGTGTCTCCTTAATCCCTTACTTGGGATTGATATTTTTTCTGTTGTACCCGTACTTGTGTATATACCCAATCTCACACAATCTAAATTTGGACAAATTTGAGATATTGTCTTTTAATCAATAATAACACATAATACTGAAACAGACACCATGAATGACACGTGTCACTTCTGAGTGCTGATTTTTCCCTCCAAAACTCCCCTCTCTTTTTAGCAAAAATATTTTATCTCTGGAATATTTTATATTTGTATATTAAAACTATAATAATATTATTCCTTATCTTATATATTATCATTATAATGATTGTATTTCTTTTTATTTCGTGTTCTATTTACTTAAAGTAGTTACATAAGATTTTGAGACCTTTTAATTAAGGGAGAATAAACTATAATTTAGAAGGTTGAAATATGGTGGAGAATATTAAATAACGGAGCCAAAAATATAATATTAACATTTAAATTACCATTATATATATTTGTACAATAGTGGGGTTCAATGGAGGAAAAAAAAATTATATTCATGATGTTGATTTGAAATCTTATGAATCAATAATAATTGAATTAGTTTTCTGTTAAATATTTCTGTGATAACTTACCAACTTATAACTTTTTTTTTTCCTTCAAAAAATCTATTAACTATTACTAAAATAGGTCATGCTTACATTGATCATTTTGGACATATGTCAAGCTATCATTAAAAAATTCCCGAATACAATATATGACGTCAAAATTTTTTTTTTTTTTTTTGAAATATTCTACTTAGCTTATTTTTTGGAAGTATATTGTATATCTTTTTTTTTTTACTAAATTAATTCATTAAAAAATCATATGACATCCACATTATATAGTTTTATTGGGAATAACATGCATCATTAATGTAATATAATGTGTTTCGGGTGAAAACAATGGATCCTTTGTCTGGACCTTTCTAGTGGAATGAAGACTGGACTCGCCCAAGTGATGACTGGGACGAGGGTTTCCTGCACAGCAAACACACGTAAACTGGTCTCGAGGGTTGTGCCGAGTAAGGCCCCTCCGATGCCAAAGTCAGTATAGTGTTAGAGAGATAAAGCTATGCAAGAAAGTTAATGCTTGAGGCTTGAAATGAATGAATAGAGAGAGAGAGAAATCAAGGCTTTTATACCTTATTCAAATAGATAAATTGGGCCTTGAGGTCAAATGGGTCAGGCTTGCCATGTTGACCGGACCTTTGACTGACTTAGCATTTATTAGGAGAGTTAAACCTTCTTTTGGGCTTTGTAATTGAATCATTTGTAGGCCGGCCCAATTGTAGTAAATTGGACCCAAACAACTTGCCCTTAGACCCGATTCAGAAATTTGACGAGCTGGATTTTGACTTCCAAAATGGAGGGAACCAAATGATTAATTTAACATTTAAACTATTGTGGTTATTGAGGTAATAACGACAATTTGGAGTTAATTGGGAATTTGGATGGTTTAGCGGGCGGTTAATCAGAGAAGAAGACGGAAAGGTGGAGCATTGAAGTAAAGTTAGTGGTGGTGTTAGTGGCGCGAACTCCCAAGATTCTCATTTTTGGAAAGTGTTTAAGCCACTCGTCCCACATTCTCTCCTCATTTTCTTTTGCTAATATCAAATTTCTTCTCGCTAATCACCGTTGCTAAACCTTTTTTTTTCTTTTTTTTTTTCTCATATTCAGCAATCCGAAGCTCAAAACTGAAATTTGTTTCTCCGAACTTATAGAACGGAAAATTCCGCGTCTGACCAAGGTAATTTTCTTAGAATTTTCTTCGGGTTTCTTGATTTATCGAG